CTCTGTATGTGTGTGTGTGTGGGGATATAAACCTACTACTCCAATCATTTGAGAAAACTATACTCTTAAGCAATATAAAAAGTAGAAAGCATAGTTTGTTCAGGTGCCGGGGGTGGCTGAAGGTTACTGTGTGGTCTCCAAGGCCACCATGAGCCACTGGCTTTGCCTTTGTGCCTAGTATTGAATACATTTTCTCCCTCCACTTTCCAGGATTCGTCACTCTTCACTGCCTCAGACAAGTAAAACAATAATGATAATAAAAGTACATCTGTTCTTTCACATCCTGTCACTCCTACACACTTGAATATTTTGCACCAAAAACTTTGTTCCTTGCGTTCCGTGTTCATCTCCAGCCCAGAAAACTTGAAAACTTGACTGAAAAACTAAAGGCATCCACTATTCAAATTCCTCAGCCTTGGGGCTCATTGGTGTTTTCTATAAAACTCAATTTTTGATCATGCAGATGGTCCTTGTGAACACTTTGTGTCCACCTCACTCTGCTCCTCATGCTTTGACACTTTGTGCCTGCAGTTGCAAAGAAGACAGACCCTGGCATGAATGCTAATTAGTTTTGTTCAAACTGTTGAAAAGACCTGCTTGATGTTATTTACTGTCTCATCTACTAAAAAGAAGAGTTGTACATCAGCACAGGCAGGGTCAGAGACAAGTGAGGATAAAAATAAATGCACATTGTAAGCAAAATCCTGTTATTGCTATGGTGACGAAAGGCCCAAGTTCCTGTCACGTGACGGTCATGATGTGATGGAGGAGCAGCAGGAAGATTAGGTGAACTTGTGCCATCACAGCAGAATTAGTTTCTTTTGGTTTATGAACTCACTTCTGGTTTTTAGTGTGTTTTACCTTTTATTTGTACATTTGAATGTTAGTTATAAAAAGCAGACAACATTCTGTCCAATCACCTTCTTTTGGAGGCTTTATGTCCCTTTAGATCTATAACCATCTCTTGTAGATGCCATTTTTGTAAAGCAGCTATTTTAGTCCACTCGACTGTCACATTTGCCTTTTTTCTTCTTTATGACAGTGTAAACGTTCAAGAAGCAGCTCTGCCACTGAACAAAGATCCCTCACACATCCCGTCTCTGTTGCAGGGCTTGGCTTTGACAGAGATGCTAGTGTGCGCTGCTCACTGGTTTACTCCCAGTCTTTGCTTCAGAGGAGACGGAAGCTGAGGAGACGGAGGACTGTCGCTTGCGTTCCCAGACAGGTGCAACAAGATTTAGGTAAGCTGTTTATTCTACCAGTCAGGAACAGGATAACTGAAAAAATATTTCAGACAACTCCTCTCCTAAAAGTAGTGCTGTGTATTTGTGTCTTTGCAGTAATGATTAGCATGCCGCTTCAAGTTACACAAAAGGAAACAATTGGTTAATGAGTGTTTAAGTTACATCGTGTGACATTCCTTTAAGATAAAACCGGAGCCTTTTCTGTTTCCAGTGAAGTGATGTACAGTTTGACAGATTAGGTCAGACTGGAGTTCTATGTGATCTGCAGTGAGAATAAGGATCAGGTTAAAAATCGTCTGGAGCGTCTGGGGTAATTTTTTGTTAGAAGGATGCTGCAAGAATGAAAGAGAAGGTTTATAAAATGTCACTGAGACCTGCTATGGAGATGGTGAGTAAAACACAGAGGAGGTGGCAGAGAGGAAGACTTTGTAACTTTCACTGGAAGTGACCTAAATTGACAGGACTCCAAGTGAGAGGGGCGGCTCAGATTGAGCAGTTTGGAGGCAAAGTTAAAGAAGTAAGGTTGAGATGGTTTGGACAGATGAAAGAGAGGGATACTAGATATTTTGGACAAAAGATGTTGACTGTGAAACTACCAGAGAGGAGGAAAAGAGGACGACCACAAGGAAGATACAAGCAATGGTAGCAACAATTTCAAAAATTATATTTGTCCAGGGTTTTTTTTCAAGTAAGATAATTGGAGCAGCTGTGGCTAAGTGATTAGACCTGTCGTCCTCCAAAGTGGAACAAACCAGTTCTGTTTGTGATAAGATGGTCATGGTTTAGACCATCTTATCACAAACAGAACTGGTTTGTTCCACTTTGGAGGAAGCTGTTGGAGGAAGAATCCGTTTTGTTGTGCGTTTCCTTGACTGATGAAGCCTTCAGGATCAAAGGCGAAACGTTTCAGCACCAAAAAAAAAAAGAAACTGTCCAGATGACCTGACTGAAAAATGTTGGATTGTATACCTGGATGATTGAGCATGGACTTTGTCATCATCTAAATACCTTCTCAGTTCTGTATGTTGCTTCCCTCCTGCAGACTCTGATGATTCTCCTGGTTCCAGGGAGCGGACAGTGATCGTTCATGTCTCTCCAGACATCACTCCATCTAACGACGAGCTGTCAAGCCATCTCAACACCAGAGACTCAGGCTGCCAGACAGAAGATTTTCTGATCCCAGGAGCACCATCTAGGAGAAGGATTAGGGTCCACAAGGGCCAGGCAGGGTCCCTCTTACTGTCCCACTCAGCAGGCAACATCACGGGCCTGTCTGACAGCTCTGACACCATGTTCACAGCCTCTGTGGCAGTTCACTTGCGTTCACGGAGTCTCCCCAGAGACGGCAGCCGGATGATGGACAACAGGCAGCATGACAGCGACAATGAGGAGGAACTTTCCCCTTTTAACACAGAGGACTTCCTGCCTGGACAGAGGGACAGGATCCTGAAGGATGAAGAAGAGAGTACAGATGACCAGGCCATGTTGGAGCTGAAGTACAAGCAGCTGTCAGAGAGTCCAGAGCGCAGCTGGATGGAGCGAACACGAGCTCAGCTGCCCAGAAACATGGGCAGCTGTGAGATCTCATCAAGCTCTGACACCTTCAGCAGCCCCATTCACTCTGTCTCTGCTGCAGGGGGGCTGGCAGGTCCGATGGATCATAAGGATGAACACCAGTCCTCCAGTGGGAACTGGAGTGGGAGCAACTCCACTTGCCCTTCCCAGACATCAGAAACTATACCTCCTGCAGCTTCCCCACTGCTGACCGGCTCGTCACACTGTGACTCTGAGCTCTCCCTTAATGCTGCCAGTCAAGCCAACGATGAACAGACCAGCTTGGACCACTACCAGGGCCTCAGGACTCAGCGTGTGGGCTCCTTCTCCTCAACAGCTATGGATATTTTAGAGGAAGTAGGAGTTAGCACAGCTGTGGAAGGAGACTGGGGCTACCCCCCTGATGCCTCTCATTCTCAGAGCTTCAGTCCTGAGCCGAGCAGAGAGGCTGAGAGCAGCCTGGGCTGTCCTAGCTTCACCAGCATGGCCACCTGTGAGAGCAGCTTCTCCGACAAGCCACCGTCAGAGAAAGCAGATGCAGTCTCACACTACTCTGTAGACACTGAAGGTTACTACACGTCCATGCATTTTGACTGCGGTCTAAAAGGGAGCAGAAGCTTTACTTATAACTATGCACCCTCTGGTTCTGATTACGCTCTCTCTGACATGAGCAGTCATCTGACGCTGGGGAGACGCTGCCTCTCCTTAAGAAAACCCAAGGCTAAGCCATCACCACCAAAGAGGAGTTCCTCTTTAAGAAAAATATACAGTGAGGGAAACATCTGTGAGAAGAATAAACCAAAGATTACACACAGTCAGCAGCTTCCTCTGTCTTCCAAGGAGAGGAAAATGCAGCTAGCGCTGTTCGGCTCACAAGGTTACATAGAAAAATCTTCATTAGTCAGGGAGCACTTAGTGGTCTGGGGAGTTGAGGCCTCGGCTGATCTTCCTGATTTAGGTGTATTACACTCCAAAGATGCACAATCGTTTAAGAGTGAAGGTGTTATTCAGTCAGACTATGCAGATCTCTGGCTCCTTAATGACTTAAAATCCAGCGATCCCTACCGATCCTTGTCAAACTCCAGCACAGCCACCGGTACAACCGTGATTGAATGCATCAAGTCACAGGAAGGCTTGGAGTCCCAGACATCACAGTCTGGTTCCAGAGCCACCACCCCCTCACTCCCATCAGTAGAAGGAGAATTGAAGCTGACCTCCCCAGAGAAACTGGCAGGCCTGGCAAGCCCGTCCAGCGGCTACTCCAGCCAGTCAGAAACCCCCACATCCTCGTTTCCCTCCACCTTTTTTCCTAGGCCGCTATCGCCAGCAGGTGGCAAGAGGAAGCCTAAAGTCCCGGAAAGAAAGTCCTCTCTTTCATCGTGGTCTCTGCAATCATACAAGGATGTAGCAGCCTCGAAGAGAGATGTGGAGCTGCCGGTGATTCCTCCTTCTCACCTGGACCTAAGTGCCCTTCACAGTGTTAACAACAAGGCTTCAGCTTACTGGATCCATGCTGAAAACACTTATCAAAACAAGCAAAAAGGTGAAGTCAAATCCAGACCTGTTGAGGTGTTCAGTGCCCACACTCTGTCCATTACACCCTCTATGCTGCAATCAGTCCAGCTTCAACCGGCCAGTAAGGAACATAAGGATAAAAACAGAACAGTTTGCCATGCTGAGTTTTTTACTAGTAATAAACCTCTGGTGCTCAAGGACCTTCCTCTGCACAACTTGTATCATGATGAATCCCTAAAGGAGTCAAGTGAATCGGTATTTACCTCAAATGAAGAGCTCACGACTGAAGACAGACACAACCAGAACCATGGGCCTCCTTTACAGATCCCAACAGCTGATGGGCAGACTTCAGAGTCATGTTTAAATGCTCCTGAAACACTCACTGGTCTTGAAAGAGAACTGCACACAGAGTCACTGCTAACATCCACTTGCTCTGGGAACTCACTGCAGCAGAAAAGTGAGTTGCCTGAAGATGAAATGTGTCCCACCCCTCCCATTCTGCATAGTTCCCCCAAGAGATCCAACAGTCTGAATAAAGTGCCTGCTGCTGACAGCCAGCTGGAGACGTCCCAGGAGAGCTCAATCAGCAACGACAGCAGCATCGAAGTGGAAAACGATTCATCAGGTGTTTCAGCCGAAAGTGCCTTGCAGGATGGCAAAGATGAATCCACGGAAGAGCTGGAGGACCCTGACTGCAAAGGTACAGTGTCTCAGTACTGAATTAATAATGTGTTAACCTTTATTTAACCAGTCAAATCCCACTGAGATCACAGATCTCTTTTGCAAGGGAGGCCTGTGTCAGTCTAACATGTATGTTTTGGGACTGTGGGAGGAAACCGGCAAAAAGAAAACCCATGCGAACATGAGGATTCAATACAGGAATCAATTCAGATTGCATCAGACAGCTTCAGGGTCTACAAACCAGATTCCAAAAAAGTTGGGACACTAAACAAATTGTGAATAAAAACTGTCTGCAATGATGTGGAGATGGCAAATGTCAATATTTTATTCGTAATATAACATAGATGACAGATCAAAAGTTTAATCTGAGTCAATGTAACATTTTAAAGGAAAAAATGTTGATTCAAAATTTCACAGTGTCAATAAATCCCAAAAAAGTTGGGACAAGTAGCAATAAGTGGCTAGAAAAAGGAAATTGAGCATATAACGAAGAGCTGGAAGACCAATTAACACTAATTAGGTCAATTGACAACATGATTGGGTATAAAAAGAGCTTCTCAGAGTGTCAGTGTTTCTCAGAATCCAAGATGGTAAGAGGATCACCAATTCCACCATTGTTGTGCAGAAAGATAGTGCGGCAATACCAGAATGGTGTTACCCAGCGTAAAATAGCAAAGACTTTTAAGTTATCATCATCAACCGTGCATAACATCATCAAAAGATTCAGAGAATCTGGAACAATCGCTGTGCGTAAGGGTCAAGGCCGTAAAACTCTACTGGATGCTCGTGATCTCCGGGCCCTTAAACGTCACTGCACCTCAAACAGGAATGCCACTGTCAAGGAAATAACAGAATGGGCTCAGGAATACTTCCAGAAAGCATTGTCAGTGAACACAATCCACCGTGCCATCCGCCGTTGCCAGCTGAAACTCTACAGTGCAAAGAGGAAGCCATTTCTAGGCAAGCTCCACAAGCTCAGACGTTTGCACTGGGCCAGGGGTCATTTAAAATGGAGTGTGGCAAAATAGAAGACTGCTCTGTGGTCAGATGAGTCACGATTTGAAGTTCTTTATGGAACACTGGGACGCCATGTCATCCGGACCAGAGAGGACAAGGATAGCCCAAGTTGTTATCAACGCTCCGTTCAGAAGCCTGCATCACTGATGGTATGGGGTTGCATGAGCGCTTGTGGCATGGGCAGCTTGCATGTCTGGAAAGGCACCATTAATGCAGAGAACTATGTTCAGGTTCTAGAACAACATATGCTCCCATCTAGACGTCATCTCTTTCAGGGAAGACCCTGCATTTTTCAACATGATAATGCCAGACCACATTCTGCAGCAATCACAACATCATGGCTACGTAGGAGAAGGATCCGGGTACTGAAATGGCCAGCCTGCAGTCCAGATCTTTCACCTATAGAGAACATTTAGCGAATCATAAAGAGGAAGGTGCGACAAAGAAGACCCAAGACGATTGAACAGTTAGAGGCCTGTATTAGACATGAATGGGAGAGCATTCCTATTTCTAAACTTGAGAAACTGGTCTCCTCTGTCCCCAGACGTCTGTTGAGTGTTGTAAGAAGAAGGGGGGATGCCACACAGTGGTAAAAATGGACTTGTCCCAACTTTTTTGGGATTTGTTGACGCCATGAAATTTGGAAACAACAGATTTTTCCCTTAAAATTATACATTCTCTCAGTTTAAACTTTTGATCTTTGATTTGTGTTCTATTCTGAATAAAATATTAGATGTTGGAACCTCCACATCATTGCATTCAGTTTTTATTCACAATTTGTTTAGTGTCCCAACTTTTTTGGAATCCGGTTTGTACCTCATATATTCTGACTGGCTGTGTGCTCGTCTCCCTCCAGAGAACTTGTGCTAATATTGTAAAGTGATTTTTACTGCAGGTATTAGAAACAACTACTGTGCAGAACACCACAATCAATCCAAACGTCTCTGCTGAGTCTGAGCAGCTCAGGTGCACTGAGTATGCTGAAAGCTGTCAATTGTTGTTAACAGACTGCACGAGTAGTGAGAACTCTGTATGTGCGCTGCATGACGAGTCCAAACCAGAAGATGACAACGTGTTCCTGTCTCCCACCAAGTCCCGCACCACTGAGGATCTGTTCGCTGTGATCCACAGGTGAGTGTGTGAACATCGGTGTGTGTTGCTCCGAGTGTTCACACTCACACAGGTGTCGTCTTCCTCAGGTCCAAGAGGAAAGTGTTGGGGAGGAAAGACTCGGCTGAGATGGCAGCGAGGAAGCAGCTCGGTACTTCAGGGAATGTTTCGCCCGACGACAGCGTCAGTTCCCCAGTCTCTGTAGCATCACCCTCCCCCGCTGTGACCCCACCAGGCTCACATCGAGTGTCGGGTCCCATCTACAGGAACGCAAAGAAGTCCAGCACCTCCAGTGAAGAGTTCAAGCTGCTGCTGCTCAAAAAGGGCAGCCGCTCGGACTCCAGTTACCGCATGTCAGCTGCAGAGATCCTCAAGAGCCCCGTCACTCCGAAGTCACCTGGGGACTTTCTGACGGGGTCACCCAGACAGTGTGAGGAGCCCGCCTCCCCCCAGCAGCTGCTCCAGTCAGGACAAGACCAGCTCTGCAGCCCTTATCCTAAGGCGAACTCTGAGGGCTTTTCCCCAAAATCCTTCCCCACGTCTGCTGCTTCCAGGCAGGGCCGCTCCAGAATCCCCCCGCCTGCCAGCAGCAGCCGCTACAGCAGCCGAAGCCGACTGTACTCAGCTCCTATGCAGGCTATCTTTGAGGGGGAGACGGAGAACTCTGACGGAAGCCCCCACGATGACTGCTCGTCACAGGGCTCCACGTAGAAAGATGAAATAATGATTATGTTTACATGGAAAATGATCGGACCAGAAAGAAAGATCATTTTTATCAATATAAACACGTCATAAACAGGAGCATAAATAACTTTTAATAAGGAATAAATCAGAATAGTTTCTTAGTTTTGTACAATATAGTAAACAACATCTTTACTACTGGGTAGGAGCATTCATAAAACAAGTCAGAAACCAAAATATTTGTATTCTGAAGGGGGAAAACATTTTATAAGCTAATAAATAATTCCAATTCAGAGCACAATAGTTTTAAAATAATCTTATTTGAATAATTCAAGTCAGACTTGTGAAAGCCGCACAGCTTGCTGCCTTCCTGTCAGCTGTTTGGTTTCAGCTTTTCTCCTCTGCTATGTAACAACATGTATTCTGTGAATACTTCCACAGCTCCGCAGCCTGAGTATTTCCTAAACACCGTCAGGTCACATCCATGTTGCCCCTCGTCCATCACAGCATCGCAGAACCCTCTTAGATTTGTCTTTTTAAAATATTTTATCAGATGTAGCCAAACATTTGAATATTGTAGATTGGTCATGCATGAAGTGAGACGGAACCTGTCCACCTGAAGCTGCAGCAGGAACCTGTCCATCTGAAGCTGCAGCAGGAACCTGTCCACCTGAAGCTGCAGCAGGAACCTGTCCATCTGAAGCTGCAGCAGGAACCTGTCCACCTGAAGCTGCAGCAGGAACCTGTCCACCTGAAGCTGCAGCAGGAACCTGTCCACCTGAAGATGTAGCAGGAACCTGTCCACCTGAAGCTGCAGCAGGAACCTGTCCACCTGAAGATCTAGCAGGAACCTGTCCACCTGAAGCTGCAGCAGGAACCTGTCCACCTGAAGCTGCAGCAGGAACCTGTCCACCTGAAGATGTAGCAGGAACCTGTACAACTGAAGCTGCAGAAGGAACCTGTCCACCTTAAGCTGTAGCAGGAACCTGTACAACTGAAGCTGCAGAAGGAACCTGTCCACCTGAAGCTGCAGCAGGAACCTGTCCACCTGAAGCTGTAGCAGGAACCTGTACAACTGAAGCTGCAGAAGGAACCTGTCCATCTGAAGCTGCAGCAGGAACCTGTCCATCTGAAGATGTAGCAGGAACCTGTCCACCTTAAGCTGCAGCAGGAACCTGTCCATCTGAAGCTGTAGCAGGAACCTGTCCACCTTAAGATGTAGCAGGAACCTGTCCACCTGAAGCTGCAGCAGGAACCTGTCCACCTGAAGCTGCAGCAGGAACCTGTCCATCTG